GAAGAGGAAGAAGAAAAGAGAGAGAAAGAGAAAATAATAATGATGATAATAATAATGATAATAATAATAAGAAGAAGAAGAAGAAGAGGAGGAGGAGAGAGAAAAAGAGAGAGATGCAATTAATTCTTTGTTTTTCCATTTCAGAAACTTTTTGTGGTGCCCACGGAAGGGAGAGAAATTCCTTATGCCAGTGTTAACCACAACAAGTACATGGTGACAGACCGAGTAGCTTATGTTGGTACGTGGAATTTAATTAACGGAATAATTGAGATGGCTCAAGCCAGCGAGTTTTGCCCTCGTTTTATGACCCTTCTCCCTACAACCGTCAAGGGAATCACTGCAGTTTTTAAGCAAGTAACACAATTATTACGAGGACTGTCTGTAAGCGTGCTGCAAATGACCCTATAAAATGGGTTTTCCTCTTTTCTTTTCTCCGCCTGCAGGAACTTCTAACTGGTCTGAGGATTATTTTCTCCACACCACCGGCGTTGCATTGGTTGTCAACCAGAGCAACGTTGCCCCCGAAGCCCAAAGTTACACATTGCAACAACAGCTAGTGGACGTTTTCCTTCGGGATTGGGAATCTCCGTACACCCTCCCACTTGAAAACCACTCGCAATGTCGGAAGCAATCGAGGGAGTGAGGAGTCTGAAGAACCGGCCCTAAGGCCAGGCTCACTCCGTTTCTTGGTCCATGAGGACCTTCCTTTAAACGTCCTGAGGTTTGGATGCTCTCGGTGTGTCCCAAAGGTGCTTTTTTTTTTTTTCTCTCCAAGAGGTTCTTGGTGTGCTTTTAGGAAAATGTCAGGCTGCTTTTGCATTCTTAAACTATGGCCTTCCCGGGTTGACAATCTGTCATCGGAACAGGGGAGGAAACGCAATTGGTGATCATCGTTCTGGGCTTGGAGAAGTTCCCAAGAGCTGAAGGACCAAGTTAGGGACAGATCATCATGGAGAAATATCTATCTATGTGGTCGCTAAGAGTGGACAGTTGGATGGACCTCCTCCTTCATCCATCCATCATCCATTCACGCATCCATCCATCCATAATCCGGCATCCATCCATCCATCCATCACCCATCCA